TTGTTTGTTTGCTGATATGAGTTAGATATGTATTAATCATGCAAATGGTTTGCTGATATGAGTTAGATATGTATTAATCATGCAAATGAATGATTAATAATGTCGAATTTAGTTATTTATGTATTAATTATTTTATTTTTCATCTTATATAAAATTTTATATAAATTGACTGATAGTTCAAATATATTTAATTATATAAAATTGTAAAATGATAATTAAATATGGTAATTGATGTGCTGGATTTTATACAAAATAATAATAAAAAAACTACCAAATACTAATTTTAATTCCTAAATAATTTTCTTTCTAATGAGGAGTCAAATTACCTTGTATATTTTATCGAAATAAAATAAGACTAACCACTATTCAAATTGTATTCACCTGACAATTGAATTATCCAAATAAAGAGAAAAAAAAATATTATTTTAGAGAACTACTATTGATTATTCTTTTGGAACAATTTTATCACCTCTTTTGACATTGTATAATATCACGTCTATTGAATAATTGAATTAATCAAGTGATAAAAATATACTAAAAAATAAAAAATTTACAAGGCTCTTATGTTAGACTATCTAGATTTTAACTTTTTTCTCTTTTAATTAATACTCTAATATAGAAGAAATATTAAAAACAGATTTTAACCTTTATAATTTACAAAGACACGTGGCATTTATTTAAGACTATATTAATAATTACTTGAACAAACGCTAATGAAAATTGAAACAAAGTCGCTCCCAAGTAGAGATTTATTTACTTTTAACCAATATTTTGCATTTTAAAAGAAATCTTTACAGGAAGAATTTTATCTTTACCTTAATGGACATTAGTAGTGAAAATTCGAATTCAAGCGTGCCAATAACTTTTTCTTAAAGTATTACTCCATCCGTTCATTTTTAATTGTTATATTGTGCTTTTCGAAAAACAATTTGACTAATCTTCAAATTAAATTAGATTACATTAATTTGATATTTTAAACAAAAAACTTAAATATTTAAAAACTATACGAAAAGTACTATAAATTGTAATTTTTGCATATTAATATAATAAAAAAATACATCATAAAATATTAGTTAAAGTTTTTATCGTTTGACTCTAAAACAGAAAACCATAACAATTAATAATTGGACGAAGATATATACATGTGCACACCACGTAGAATGTGTATATATTACTTGTTTAATCTTACACAAGTTAAAATATATACATGTGCATATAAAAAATTGAAAGACATAGATGTTAACCGAAACTGAAAGTTATGTATAGGCAAATGGTGTCAAAAGCCCATGGCAGTGAACGCTAAAAAAACACGAAAAAAATAACAAAAATGCCAGTGAACGCTGACGTTAAAAGTAGAGAGAGGTTCAACTTTTTCACAGTGAAAAACAAAATCTCCCTCCACCACACATATAATTTCGTTCCACTTCTCCATCTCCTCCTCATTTTCCTCCTTTTTTCCTCTTCCACCTAACACGCAAGTGGGATTGGGATACCCTACAATCTTCAACTGAAATTTTCCGGCGCCGGTAGTTCTCACATCGGAGAAAATGGCGGAAACAGAGGAAGACGGATCAAATTGGCTTATAGAATTAGGGTTAATGGAAGACCTTCCTTCTCTTGAACCCAATGCTCAATGGCCCTCCAACGCTTTTTCCATTCCAAATAATCTCAGGTTCTTAATTATAGGGTTTCTTTTTTTCTTTTTTTTTCCAACAGATTTAATTAAATTAATCGATTTTTTAAAAAAATTTGAACCTTTTGTCTAACGATTCAAGTTTCATTCTTTAATTCTTCTTCTTTTTTTAAATAAATAAGTGGTAAAATGGGAATGTGGGGTTGAATTTTCTTGAATAAAGAACTTGAAGTGAACTATTCAAAATACCAAAAAAATTAAATAAAGAACTCTCCTTAAGTGTACTACTTAAAAAAGGTAATAGAAACATTTTTTTTTCTGAACTGTATGTTGCTAATTATCAGTAGACTGCTAATCATCAAGTAGTTTTAGCTTGTTCACTCTTAATAAAATTGAAAAAGATGATTTTTTTTTTTTTTTTGCTTGGTTACTTGTAAAATAGCTTTAGTTCCAGTTTCAATGTGCAGAGGTAAGTTCAATCTAGGTTCTGGGTGATTTTGTATTGTTAAGCTAAGCTGGTCTATTTCAGAATAAGGGAGGCTGTGGGTAAGATGAGGGTTATATAAATGTTTTATTTGTGACAAATCCCAGAAGAGACACAAACACTTTTTCCATCTGTACTAGCCTTGGTGTTGTTGGTGGGAGGTGATAGGGATCACATGGAACTAGTTGAGGTGTGTGAAAGCTGACCCGGATACCACAGTTATCAAAAAGAAAAGTCAGAGGAAATACTGACTTTTGTAGTATGTTCAAGTTTATTCTTCAACAGCCAAAATCTTTTGCACCATCTATAGCATAAAAGTAAGAAGATTTTTTTAGTCTAGTTGGATTTGGTATCTAGGTGCCTCACTGCTGTCAAATGATTGGTTTTATTGTTGTTTAGCTCTTTGTTGGATTGGGTTATTGATAAACATATAGATCTTCAAGGATTTCCAGTTAGATGCTTTAGCTAATCATGTAAAATACTGATGGATAAATTAGGAGTTATGCTGAGATGCAGAGATCACAAATAAAAGAAGCTCCAAAAGAATATGAGAAATGATTTCTTTGGCCTTCTTTTGTCTGCACTCATTTTCCTTTTCTCAAACAACAACTAATCTTAGTCCCAAACAAGTTGGAGTCAACTATATGAAGTTATGAACTATGTTTCTTCATTTTCCTTTTCCCCAACAAATTAAAAAAAATCAATTTAATGATTGAGCATGGATATGTTTTGAATATATGAAGTTGAAGGTTTAGACACACTTGATTTTGAAAAGATTTTCCTGGTGGATCTTTGCCTGAACAATGTTTTAGTTTATCTGCAGCCTTAATCATAGAGGAGCTACTCATTTTTTAAACTTAAATATGGTATGAGGAGGAACTTGTATGTGCTAAGTCCTTTCGGCCTTAGCAGACAGTTCAAATCTTGCATAGTAACCTTGCATTTTATGAAAGCGTTTCCATTTTTGCGTTGTACAACTAAGCCAATTGATCATTCAAATCGGTGTGGTGAATGTGATGTGTTTCTTACCTTATTACAGTTCTGGATTAGAAGATTCCTATGGCAACTCAGATAGTTTAAAGGAATGCGGCTCCAAAAAGAGGTATTTTTCTTTTAATGAGTTACTTGATTGGAGTTTATGAAGCAAGAAATAAAAGAGTTGAAAACAGTATCCTTTAGCACCTAACATCAGAATATGTCTTGTGCTTTGTATATCAGAAAATTGAAAAGCATCAGTGATGTCTTGTGGCATCATCTAACATTCCATGTCCTTCATGTGTTTGTGAAGTGTTTCTTGTTCCTCTTCCCTATATGATAGAGCCTTTATTTATTTCAGGGTGAGATCTGGAGCATGTGCATCTGATTCAAAAGCACATAGGGAGAAAATGCGCAGGGACAAGCTGAATGACAGGCAGACACACTCTCTCTCTCTTTCCCTTTCTCTTTCTGTGTGCATACTTGAGTGATGGTTGTGCTGCAATTATACTTGTGTTTGCTTCTTGTTCGATATTTTTAGAATGCAACAAGAACATACCCAGTGTAATCTCACAAGTGGGATATTTTTAGAATATAAAATTGTTTTAATATTGTTCTCTGTTTTTTTTTTCAAGGTTTCAAGAATTAAGTTCTATTCTGGAACCAGGAAAGCAGCCAAAAATGGATAAATCTGTTATCCTGGGTGATGCAGTTCGTATGGTGGTGCAGTTGAGAGATGAAGCTCAGAAGCTGAAAGAGTCGAACAACAACTTGCAGGAGAAGGTTATTGAATTGAAGGTGCGATGATTGAAATTATTATCTGGTTATTATACTGATTGAGTTTCCCTATCTTATTATTCTCTTTAATGAGCTATGTATAAAGTCGTTCTTGATTGGGCTTTAGCAGGCTGAGAAAAATGAACTCCGAGATGAGAAACAAAAGCTAAAAGCAGAGAAAGACAAACTCGAGCAGCATCTGAAGGCCATGAACACTCAACCTGGATTTTTACCACACCCTCCTGCAATGCCTTCCCCTTTCTCAGCCCCACATCAAGTCTTTGCAAGCAAAATGATGCCATATCTTGGCTACCCTGGAATCCCTATGTGGCAGTTTGTGCCTCCTGCTGCAGTTGATACCTCAGAAGATCATTCTCTCCGTCCTCCAGTTGCTTAAATCGTGGTGACTTCTTGTTACCAGAATTATGCAAATGTTTGTTTCCTATGTCAACAATTTTGTTGACCTTTGTTGACATTTTGTTCTCCTAATATGAGCAGATTGGTATATATACTATAATGAGGTAGTTGATCAACTGATTATGTACACTAATACGTAAATCTCGCTGAAGTTTACATGAATACCTACCTTATGTTATATCATCTAACCAAACATAGCATCCTCAAGACATGCCATTCTTGGTTGTTCAATTTTGACTCTATGATTTTTGAATCTGGTTTTACACTCAGCTAAATAGCTTCTAGTTGTTAGAGTTGGTTCATTCGTATCTTCTATGTGAACAATGCATAGAGTGACTGTGTATGAATGCTACCCTATGCTCTCTGTTTTCCATTTACCCTGTAGATCATATATTGTCAGCTACTAGCTCTAGTTTTTATGGACTTGAAAGAACGAGCTTGAACACACATTTGATGAGAAAGCTATACATGCAATTTATTTGTTAAACTTTTTTTTTTTTCTTCTAGGTCTGGCTTTGAAGTACCTGCAATTTATTTGTTGAGACTCATGTTTGACGACCTAACAACTTTTTACTCTACATTCCAGTTTAACTAATTTCAGAAATACTGTTTGATACTGAAGTAGAATTTCATTGAAGAAACACTTTCTGTAAATCATGTCACTCCATGTTTGCTAAGTGACGATTCATTGGAAGTTTGTTTCTATGAGAGATAGTAGTAATACAAGCTATTTAATATAAGTAATAATCATGGCTTAAACATAACAATTGGAAATGCATAGGTATTTGTAATAATCATGTGTTGACTCATAATCCAGATTACAAACATTCCATAGCACCAGTTCACCCGTGTTCTCTAATAGTATGATATTCTTAACAAAAGCTTCCAAAGAAGCATCTAATTCTTTATAGAGCATAGTAATGCAAGATTTGGACAATGCCTTGAATTGGACCATCTCTTAAGGCTTCCTCGTTTTCTTATCTTAGCAAGGCTGTTTGAACCCCATGTAATTCCCACTAGTGTAATCCCTCCAGATATCAACAGCTCCAAAACTAGTCATGAGAAGAGTGCTTAAAGCCATAACTATGCCAACAGAAAATACAATAAGGGATGCTCTCCCATGATGCTCTATGGCTCTCTGAACCACTACTAATCCAATGATTGAGGCAATACAACATACAACTGCAAAGATGAGGGCATCGTCCACGTGTTCCATCCCTAGAAATAGATATTGCACAGCTGACATGGTAGAGGAAAAAAACACCATGAATGAGCAGGTTGCTGCTGTCACCTGGGGTAAAACAAAGTCATCAGTGTTGTGAGAAAAAGACTCACAAATTTAAGGATAAGTAAGATGGAAAAATAGCAAGTAGCAAAGCTTACTTCAGGAGTTATTCCGACTTGGATTAAGAGGGGACTAATTAGCATTCCACCACCAATTCCAAAAACGCCTCCTAGAACCCCTGCTAGTAGTGCCATTATAGGGAAGATGAGCTTCCCTGAAGGTCCATGTTTAGTTTCACTGCTTCCTTCCTGCATTTACCGAACCAAGTTAGTTCTTAGTCAACAAGTTAAGCAAACAACATACTCTCTTATAACTTATAAATACCGGTTTCTTGGAAGGCATGTTCTGTTGACTTTCTCTATTATACAAGATCCATGATGTAAAGATGATAGCCATAGGAAACTGAACTGATGAAATGATCCAGTATCCGACTCCACATGCTTCCATTGGAATGATGCCCTGTACATAGATTTGAACAGTTTCTGTTACAATGTTACAAACAAGTAACCTAGCTTTTAAAAAATTCTTACTGCCTCATCATCACTTTTCTTTTTCTTTCCTTGTCTTGCAATTAGCGTCCTTAAAATTAGCAATACCACATCTCAAGTCTATACTCTGAAGTACTAGACCCTACTTTCTTTCCCGTTTCAAGATTGAAGAAAGTGAAAGATAATGTGTATCTCTCAACTAAATGTCTTTTAGCCTATTATTATGCTAGAAAGGGACTAAAGACCGTATGGCGTATGCTAAGCTGAATTTAAGCACTTCTTTCCCGTTTCATTTTGTTTGTCTTACTTTCATGGTCTCAACACAAATTCTCACAATTCTGAAAGAAGACAGGAATTGGAGTCATGTTACTGATGCTACCAACTACCAAAAGTAGTGTAAAAAAAGGAGAGAAAACAGCAGTGTACCAAAAAAGAAGATGAGAAATAAAAATGAACTTAACCTTAAAAGGGAACACAGAAAAGTACTCAAGAAGTCCAAATACTTGTAAACCTGAAGTAAATTAGATTACTTCCAGGGACTTAAGGTCACATGATGCATCATATATAGGACTAAGTTATGGCATAAAGTGTCCAAAAAAGGAAAATTCAAGACAAATGAAAAAGAAACGTGTACACAAAAGAAGAGAAGTGAAGACAAGATAAAAGTAGGCATACTTGTCCATATTGATTTCCACGAAGAAGATAGAGGAAAAAGAAGGAAAACCAGAACATCACCAACATCCCCATTTTCATCCATGGAATGTTGCTAACTATTCCTCCCTTTCCTTCCTTCTTCTCCAACAAAGCCTCATCATCTTCATCACAACTTTCATTTTTCAGCAACCCATTTTCCAATTCTTGTTTTCCATTTTCCAATTCTGATTCCAATTTCCAATAAAAGAAGCCTGATTTACATGTCTTGAAAGTGCAAAAACCAAGAAACAGAGCAAACAGTATAGTGATAAGCCATTCTGGGAGTACCCTATTGCATATAACTCCAATACTGACACCCAACAACATGCATGGCTCCGACAGCAATGCTATATCAAAATCAATCAAAATCTTGCCTCCATATTTGGTACTTTTAACAAACATGTTAGTTACAACATTAGCAATAGAGCCACCTGTGACCATAAATGCAGAAAAACTTGAAGCTGTTTTGAGCTCTACACCAGCAATTATAGTAAGAATTGGTATATACAAACCTCCACCTCCAATCCCACCAGCACTTGATATAGAGGCTGCTAAAAAACAGAGCACCCCTGTTGCTACAGTTGAAACTCCAAATTTTAAACCCACATCTTCTTGTTTCTGCTTCTGATTAGCCCTCCATTCATAAATTGCATTCAAGAATTGATCCAATTTGGGGATATCTGAGGTGGGGTTTGTCTGTTTTGCTATAGAAAATCTACAAGATGCCAAAACAACAAGAAAAAATATAAACTTTAAGTAGTTGTTGTGACAATTCATTTTCTTGAATTTTTGGTTACAATGAGAGTGCTTTGGAGTAGGAGGGGTTTTTATGATAGTGTTGTGGCTTAAAAGAATGATGATTTAAAATAGGCCTAATACATAAATATATCTTTAACTTGCTTCATCTAGTATCTATATTCTCTAATTTTGGGTCTACACAAGTAGACATTTAAATTTGTATAAAATTGAACCGTAGACACATGCTTCATATATGACATCTTATGTAGCAATTCACATCCTAAATGACGTCCTATGTATAATATGCCACGTAGGATGCTAGTGTCTATTTATTTAATTTTATACAAATTTGAGTGTCTATTGGTACACACGAAGTATGTATGGTGCATTTATGAGACTTAGTGAAGTATAGTACAAAATGCATGGGGGTAACTAGAATTGTTTTGCCACTTGTCAACCAATTGTCTACATCATCAACATCCAAGCATATATATTTGGCTTGTTAACAGTGGAGTTGCTTCTTAGGATGGTATAATAAATAGTATATAATTGTGACTGATCAAATTTGCTACTCTTTTAAGTGAAGAAATTGAAGGGGTTGAGGAATAAGTTGAAATAGAGACAGATGAATGCTTAAAGGCTCAAGCTCTACATAACATTAATTGTCTTTATGGCAATAGCACGTATTTGAGATCAATAAATAAGCAGAATCTGAAAATGACTTGTTGAGAAAATCTAAGGCACTGAGTTTGAATCACCAAAGGAACAAAAAGATGGACGCTCCTAAGGTAATTTTTTTTAGAAAACAGAAGTAGGAGCATATATGCATGTACCCTAAGAAGTTGAAAACCGTAGACCCTATAATGGGATGGGGGCATTAATTTTAAAAAAATAGTTACAATCTGTTGTTAATCTGTTGCGATATAATATGTAGCTAGCAGAGTTTTATAATAATTCGTCACTAATCTATCGGTAACTTATTAAAATTACGTTTTTCTATTGTTTATATGCCGCGAAAGTGTTAATTTTTTAAAAGATAGGAGCAATAAAAAGTATTTGTAAGTGTCGATTGAAAATGTCTCGTATATGAAGACTTTAAATAACTAATTTAAAACCAAAAAATCTATATAATTTAAAATTAAAAAAAAAAAAACTAAAATATCCAACAAACTAAACAAAATCTAATAAGAATTTTAAAATTTAAATAAACAAACTAATAAGTATGGTATATTACAACAAACTAAACAAAATCTGATAGTAATTTAATATTCAAACTCATTCTAAAACTAGCAACTTAATCATAATGCTAATTTTTTTTAGTGCAGTAACTAGTAACTGAAGCCAAATTCAACACCCCTTCTCTTCTGAAATATGAAAAACTCCTCCTTCTTCTTTTACTTGATTCTCATTAGTTCAACCTAAAAGTTTTAGTATACAAAATGTTGAGTCCCACATCAAGCTGATTCTAATTCTATGACTTGCAAATGTCATGATGATCGAGTCTGGTACTCCCAAGCACCGGCGGAGCCAGGAATTTAGCTAAGGTGTGCAATTTTATTTTCATTTATGTTAAGAGTAATATACATTCATAATAGTTAATATTTAACCTATATACATCATATAATCTTCCATCAAATAGTGTATATCAGACCATCTTTTGCCTTAGATGGCTCCGCCCATACTCTCACCTAGGTAGAATATAATAGACGAAAATGACGTGTGTAACTTGCTTTTAAATCAATTGATACATCACGCGAATAAACTTATTTTTGGAGTGCTTGTGTCACAAAAACGGATGAAATGAAGCATCATCGAAGCTTCTTGGATTTGATAAGTTGGATGATTAATTTGTGGCTTCCTTGCTGGGGTAAACTTGAAAAAATATGAATGCATGTGCTCACTATTTACAAATCATATAATAAATATGTATTATTCTTATATAAACGGTTATCAATTAAATATAGTTCATTAATATACATTTTCAGGGTGCAAGTAATATTGTATTTTATTTTTGGAAGACTTTTTTCATTCGAAAAATCACTAATGCAGTTTCTTAAACACCTTATTTCCTAATAGCTACTAATTATGAGAATAGTACTAGTATATCTAGTTCTCTCTAATTCTTATTTTCTTCATGCTTGTTAATTAGTAGAGGTTCGTTGTTTCATTAGGATTGACAGGGTAACACCTAGCCCTCTTGCTTGTACTTATTTCTATTGAGGATTTTTATTTTAATAGCTAATTCAGAATCCATTTGTTTCAGATTCTAACTCTAGAATTCTTTCAAATAGTTTTGTCGCATTATTATTTTTCTCTTTTTATGTATGTACCTATTTTCCGAACTCAACTCTTTTCCTTTTAGCTAGCATAAGTTTTTGTCCTAATTTGAAAACGTCTTATGGACCTGCAAAGATCTTACTAATTTTCCAAAAAAGAAAAAAGAAAACCATTGACAATTGAATTACTAGTAATTAAGATATGTATTTGAACACAAAAACAAATAACAAAATATTTTATCTTGAGATTATAAGGTTAACAATATGATTTTTTTTTTTTTTAAAACAATAGTGCCTATTAACACAATCAAGACCAAAATATTTCTTTCTTTTTCAGCTATTAAGACAAGGTTGGTTTCAGCGGCAATTGCACCTGTAACCAGGGAAATGGTAAAAACGTAACGTGTTTATACCAACTTTTGTTAGTTTAAATGAAAGACAAAAAAATCAAATCACTTATTATCTCTTATTAAGTGATAAATGTGTATATATAAGACACATATCTTGCATTTATTGATTTGATGTAAACACTTTATGCTGATATTTACCTAAAAAAAATGAGTGCACATATTATTCGACTCAAATTATATATATACATAGCAATAAAGTTTTCAAGAACATCTATCTAGCTGGATGATTGAGCCTATATATAGAATCCATCTTTTTGATGTTCTTATCCACAGTGAATCAAATATTGCCATCTTTTTTGCCACTACACGCTTTCAAAGAATTTTGAGCATTTTTTGCTTAATAGGCAGCAATTTTCCTAGTTATTTTTTGGGATAAGGGTCTGAAAAATACCTCAACTTTGATCGGATTTGCTGTTGCGATACTAAACTCATAAGGACCTATTACCACCCTAGACTATTTAATACCGTATTTTTTACCCCCCGAACTATTTAATAGTGTATTTTAAAGGTATATATGTACCCATGTGGACACATTACTATTTATAATTTTGCATTATTTTTTATGTTCACGTGGGCAAATATATATGTTTAAAATACGGTATTAAATAGTCTAGGGAGGTAATAGGTCCTCATGAAAGTTTAGTATCGCAACAGCAAATCCGATCAAAATTAGGGTATTTTTAAGACCCTTATCCCTATTTTTTTAAGAAAATAAAAAATTTCCATTAAGATAATATCTTACAGTACATTATCAGATGCTACATGAAAGTGGAAAAGAGTGAAAGAAAAATGGCAGGGATACTAAAATGACTCAAAACTTTGGTTATATAGCTTTAATTTGTATAGTATAACTTTATAGTATTGGTTGTGGTACCAATTTATATTCATGCTACTCTTCAATATTTCAAGAGTGATTTCTTCTCGAATCTTATCGTCTTTAAAATCTGGCCGTAGTGATGAAAGATAAGATGGTACCACCATTCATCCCATACTCCGTCGTGGCACTTTTCGAATTTCAAGATTCAAACAAATCTATTTTTAATTGTGAATTTTTTATATATCTTTTAAATATTTTGAATTGCCAATTATTTTGACTTTTTTATAGTACTTTTTACGTAGTTTATATATATATAAATTTCATTTCAAAAAATTTGAAGATTCCATGCGCAAATTTCCGATCAAACTTAAACTGTTTGACTCTCGAAAAACGAAAAGTGCCACATAAATTGGGACAATTAGTAAAGACCTTTGCTGGTGGTAACAGATAGTAATGTCCAAACTAATTAGATTCAAGCTAGTTAAACAAAGTTGGCCTCATTTCACATTTATACCTCTAACTTTGGGTGTGCACAAATAGACACTTAAACTTGTATAAAGTTGAACAAGTAGACACATGAGTATAATACACATAGGACACTACGTAGGACACAAATTGGCATGTAGGATGCCACATAGGACGTGTGTGTTTATTTGTTCAATTTTATACAAGTTTAAGTGTCTATTTGTGCACACTTAAAATTGGAGGACATAAATATAAAATGAGACAAAGTTAAAGGGCATATTTATGTATTATGCCTTCTTCTTTTTATCAGTTTTCTCTTGTAATTTCAAGCAATATATGTATCCTGATAAACTAAATGGTTTTCTGAGACTATAATACTGTCTAATATCCTTATAACCAAATGCATAATGCTGTGCACATTTAAGCATCATAATTTAAATGCATGTTTTTGGGAAAATTTAACCCTTAGCTATCTCTATTTTTCATTTTGCGCTATGTTTTTTTTCTTTAACTGTTTCGACTTTTTATTGAAACAATCAGAATTGACATATCAATAAGAGCTGTAGTTGAATAAAATATGATTTATATCAAATTTTATATCGTAATAGTACATGATAAGTGCAATAAAAAGATAGTCTTTGCAAGCCATGGAATTCCATGTTTTTGAAAGAGTAATTAGAGATGGAGAAAAAGTATTGAAAGGTGTAGTGGACTGGACTATATTTGCATGAGCAGAAAAAATGTTTACAATTTCTGAGAAACACACGTTAATCAATGAATAAATATGATGACCATATTCATGAATGATCACCTAACGTTTCACACCAGTTTTCATTTTGACGCTTCAACTAAGACTTGTACCAATTGTATTCACATGCAAAATGCGTCTATTGATATTTTCAAGTGCTACTTGTGGAGAAGTTTTATTTTGAGTGAGACAGGTACACCATAATTGTCTGCTTCTTCCTCATTTCGTATAACTCTTCTTCTCGATTCCTTTTTAATATGATTGTAGTCAGGGGCGAATCCAGGTTGTCAGGTAAGGGTTCACAGGAACAAGTAGCTTTTGCTCAAATTCTATAAATGTATTCACTAAATATTTGACTATGACCCTATTTATTATTGTTTATTAACTTGAAATAGTTGTA